CTTCAGAGAAATGGGCGCTCAAGCCCTGCGCACGGGCACGAACCGCCTCCTCCTCCTCCTCGTCCTCCTCGTCCCACTCCTCGTCCCCCTTCCTCCTCCTCCTCCTCCTCCTCCTCCTCCTCCTCCTCCTCCTCCTCCTCCTCCTCCTCCTCCTCTTCGTCCTCCTCCTGCCCCACTCAGTTTCCCTTTCCTCCGCCTCCTGCTCTTTCTGTTCCCCCCACTCCTCCTCCTCCTCCTCCTCCCTCCCTCCTCCTCCTAGTCCTTTTCCTTTTCCTCCTCCTCCTCCTCCTCCTCCTCCTCCTCCTCCTCCTCCTCCTCATCATCATCATCATCATCATCATCATCATCATCATCATCATCATCATCATCATCATCATCATCATCATCATCATCATCATCATCATCTGCTATATCTCTCGCTTTCTACCTCCTCCTCCTCTCTCGCTCTAAGCCCTCCTCCTCGTCCTGGCCATATCCAGTTTCTCTATTCCCCCCCTCCCCCTCCCCTTCTCATACCCCCCCAGACAATCTGTCCGCTCCCACCTCAGGTGGCGAACAAATCAAAATAACTGTTGGCGGCCAGCCTAGGCAAGACCAAGGCAGCCGGGCAAGACGAATTCTCCCCGCCTGGCTACAAAGGAATTCCCAGGGAGGCTGGCAACTCACAGCGCGGCCGCCCGAAGAGCCTCATACTGGGTGCCGTGCACTGGTGCATGCAAGCTTTCGACAGGAGTCATGGCCGACGCCGTGTGCCATCATTTCATCGTAAAGAATGCGGGCGGTCGACCACTGTCATGGAAGGCGCAGTCAAAACTTATGAACAAACAGTTCCCGGCGGCGTTCCCAGCCCACTTGTCCAGAATGGTAGTGTTTGCGTTGGGCGACTCACAGGACACAAGTAAAAAGAACAGAGGCCCCAAGCTCGAGGAGGAAATGGTCGGAACAAGGGGCACCAAAGAGTATCAACCAACTTCTGCTTGATACGCGATCGGATGTTGTACTTGCGCAGTCGCAGAGGGAGAGAAAACGAGTGATATATATATATATATGTACTAGAACCACGCGCCCGCTACGCGCGCGCTTAGGTTCTAGCACACGTTTGAGGCACCGTCGGCGGGCAATTGGTGCACTCCATGACGCATGTGTGCTATGGGTCGGAGGCCCGCTCATTGGATGTTGTGTGTACTCTGCGGGAATCAAAACTTCTCCTATTCAGGTCCTGCTTTGTGGCACTTCGTGGCTTCTAGTGGCTCTCAGCGGCTCCTCGTCCATGCGCGCGCCTAGGTGCGAAAGGGAATGCCTGCATGGACTTATGAGGAACGGACATGGGGCGGGAAGGTGTATTGCAGCATCGCTGATGCATCCTGGGTTCTTCCTTGTCCTCCTCATCCTCATCGACCCCCCTGGCGCCGGCGGCGCCGACGCCGTCGCCGTCGCTGCCGCCGCCGCCGCCGTCGTCGTCGTCAACGTCGTCGTCGTCGTCGCGCCCCCCCGTCGCCGCGTCGCCTCCCCGTCGGGTGCGCCAGGGGCAGTCACCACGGACGCCGCCCACGACCGCAAGCCGCGGTGGGGGGCGGGGGGGGGCAGGAGGGCGCCGCCAGCGGGGGCGCCCAAAAGAGGAAAGCCAAGGGGGGGAAGGGGGCGCAAGCTAGAAACGTTAACAAAAACGCCCCCCCGTCGCCGCGTCGCCCCCCCGTCGGGCGCGCCAGGGGCAAGCGCCGCGGACACCGCCCACGACCACAAGCCGCAGGCAGGGGCGGGGGGAGGCAGGAGGGCGCCGCCAGCAGGGGCGCCCGAGGGGGAAAGCCAAACGGGGGGAAGGGGGGCGCAAGCTTGAATCTGAAAAAAAGGCCCCCCGGTCGCCGCGTCGCCCCCCCGTCGATGCGCCAGGGGCAAGCACCACGGACACCGCTCACGACCACAAGCCGCGGGCGGGGACGGGGGGGGCACACGCGCCGCCAACAGGAGCGCCCAAGGGGGAAAGCCAAACGGAAGGAATGGGGGATGCAAGTTTGAAGCGACAAAAAACGCGCGCCCTCCCGTGGCCGCGCTGCCCCCCCCCCCCCCCCCCCCCCCCTCGGGCGCGCCAGGGGCAGGCACCGCGGACGCCGCCCGCGACCACAGGCCGCGGGCGGCGACGCGGGGGGGCAGGAGGGCGCCGCCAGCAGGAACATCTAAAGGGGGAAACCAACATGGGGGAAAGGGGGACGCAAGCTTGAACTGAAACGGGGCGCGGGCCAACATGGCGACGGAGAAAAAGGCGGCTAGGAGGAAGAGCGGGGAGGAAGACCCGAGGAGTGCGGGTGATGGTCCGGCGCGGAGGACGCGGGGGGGGAGGTTTGAGCAGCGGCTGAGCCGAGGCGGGCCGAAGCCTGCCTGGGTTTGCGGGAGGGCGAACTGCGCCAGGGCTGCGGAAAAATGACAACGGAGGAGGGAGGAGGGCAAGCGAGGGGGAGGGGGGCCAGCGGCGGCAGCGCAAAGGATCGGAGGAGTATCTGAGGAGGACCGGGGGAGGACGACCCGAAGAGGATGATAGGCCCCATGAGACCCCAGGAGGACGAAATAGATCCCAGGAGGCCCCAGGACTGGAGGTCCCATGGGTCCCAAAAAATCCCAGGAGGACCCGCGGTGTTGACCAGGGCAACGGAAGACGCAACGACGATGGCGATGACGGCGACGGCGACGAATACGTCGGCGACGACGCCGCTGTGTCCCACTCGCTACCGCTCCAATGCAGGACATCATGTTCCCGGACCGCTCTGGGAACATGATCGGGGGGATCTCTCTGGCGTAGTGCTGGGCCGTATCGAGGCTCTCTCCATGACGTTTTGGGCCGTATCGGAGCCGTCTTGCGGGCCCCGTCCGTCTGTCCTACTGCTCCTCTCCAAACCCTCGTTCCCTAACCTCCCGATCATGTTCCCGGACCCCCGTCCCTTCCCCCCAGAGCACCGCAGCAGTAACAAAACGTTCCGAAACGGTGAGAAATCATGCTCCCGGAAAGCGTTCAAACATATGAATCGTACGTCGTCCAAGGCGCCTCGGAAGGCGCAGAATACTCCTCCAAGGCGCGGAATCATGTTCCCGGACCGCCTTCCGGGAACATGATGGGAACGACCTCCTGAGGGCCTCCAGTGGGCCTCTTGGGGGCCTCTCGGAGGCCTGTTGGGCTCTCCTGGAGGCGTCTTGGGCGCGCTCAGGGCCATTTTTGGGCATCTTGGGGGCCTCTTGGGGGCCTCCGGGGAGGCTCTTGGGGGCCTCTTTGGGGCCTCTGGGGCCTCGCGGGGCCCTCTTGGGGCCCGCTGGGCTCGCTTAGGTAGTCTTGAAGCCCTGTCGGGGCTCTCCTGGAAACGTCTTGGGCGGCTCCTAGGCCATCTTGGGGCTCTCCTGGGCCGTCTTGGGACGATTTTGGGGGTCTTTTGGACCGTCTTGGGGCGGTCTTGGGGACCTCTTCGGCCGTCATGGAGCGGTTTTGGGAGTTCCCGGACCGCCTACGACCTCCTGAGGGCCTCCAGTGGGCCTCTCGGAGGCCTGTTGGGCTCTCCTAGAAGCGTCTTGTGGCGCGCTCAGGGCCATTTTTGGGCATCTTGGGGGCCTCTTGGGGGCCTCTTGGGGGCCTCCGGGGAGGCTCTTGGGGGCCTCTTTGGGGCCTCTGGGGCCTCGCGGGGCCCTCTTGGGGCCCGCTGGGCTCGCTTAGGTAGTCTTGAAGCCCCGTCAAGGCTCTCCTGGAACCGTCTTGGGCGGCTCCTAGGCCATCTTAGGGCTCTCCTGGGCCGTCTTGGGACGATTTTGGGGGTCTCTTGGGCCGTCTTGGGGGAGTCTTGGGGGCCTTTTCGGCCGTCTTGGAGCGGTTTTGGGAGACTCTTGGACGGTCTTGGAGCGTCGGAACCCCGAAAAAGCGAGAAGGCCAAAAGCATAGAAAAAAACAATAACAAATCAACGATTTTGGCTTGTCGGCGCTCTCTTGGGAGGCCTCTTGGAATGCCTTCGGGGCCTCATGGAGCTCTCTTGGAACGTCTTCGGGCCTTCCTGGCCATTCCTGAGGCTATCTATGCGCGTCTTGGAGCGCTCGCGGGCCGTCTTGGGCGGTCTCGAACTATATAGATGTATCTATATATATATATATGTGAAGAAATGAAGAAATAAAGCGAGAGAGAGAGAGAGAGAGAAAGAGAGAAAGAAAGAAAGAACGATAACGGTACACGAGGCACTGGAGGTCACGTCGGAGCTTCGAAGCAGGCGCGTGTGGCTGATGAGCCCCGTGCGAATGCGGGCACTTGCGCTTGCCGCACAGCTTTCAGAAATGACGGTCCTTTTGCGGCCTGGTCACCGAAGAGGGCACTTGAAGGATCTGTTAGGAAGAAAGCGTCCAGTTCGCCAATTTTTGCGATCTCGACGTTGACCGACGTAAATGCAGTGCAGGTGTGACGCTGCGCTGCTCGTAGCAGACGGGGCTGCGGCAACAGAATGCCTCCTGCCACGACTGCAGAATTCAGCTGCTGGCCCAACCGAGAGCCGTGCAGCTGACCTGCCGCGCCATCGGCGGCGCGCCGCCCGCCGTATTCCTCTCAAGGGTGGCGCGTTGGCCACGCGCAGGGACATCTCACCCGACACGGAGGTTGGAACGGGCGAGGGGGACGAGAGGGGGATGCAGCCGAACGGCTAAAACGCTTACTAATGAACTGGGGCCCCCTGTGCGCAGCCGCAACGTCCGACGCTGAAGCAGCAGGCCATGATGGCGGCGCCTGGAAAGACCTGAATGGTCTCGCAGAAACACGTGCGGACGCACCCCAGACACGTGCGGGTAGCAGAGGGAGGGAAGCAGGAAGGAGGCACATCTCATCAGGGAGGAGGAAGCGGAGAAGCGGAGGGAGAGCAGCAGGACAAGAGCGCGCCGCCGAGGATGCCAACGCGGAACGCGAACGCTGCATGCTGCGCCGTCGGACCCCCGCGACGGCTCTGGCCGCCTACTCGTAGCAATCGGTGCCATGCACCTCGTGCAATCAGAAGTCTGCTGCCCCGGCAGGTTCTCGCATCTGGACATGTGGGCAGTCTAGCAAGAAGTGGGCGTCGCTGTCGTTTGCCAACGGGTTCTTTTCTGAACAGTGCGCAGAAGGTTTCGTGGCGATCGGAACGTGAGCGTCTGGCAGCGCGTTCACGACGGCTGGGGTCCACTTCCACCGATCGCTTTTCGTGCACCTCGTGCAGTCGGTGCCGCAGAAGCCGCTCGCGCACTCCCCCACGAAGGCGCCGTCGGCTCCGAGGAACCGCTGACGGTTGGCGCGGCGTCGGGCGGCCAGGAGTTCGCAGCGCTGCCCCTCCTGGCGGTGCTCGCGGAGCTGGCTGCCGAGAAAACACGCGGTGCTCGAAATCCTGGTGCTGCTCCTCTGATGGGCCGATTTTCCAAAAACGCTACCATAGGTAGGAGAGGGAGGAGGAGTAGGAGGAGGAGGAGCAGGAGCAGGAGGAGGAGGAGGACCTCCCGTCCTACATATGGTAATGGTGGTGGAAAAATTCCCCATCATCCTCTTCCCCTCTGTGCCGGAGTCGTGCGAACTCAGCGGGCCCTGCATCTGCGCGACCCCCGTCATGACCTGCGCCGCCGACACCGCGCTCTGCTCTGATGCGAGCCCAACGGCCTGAAACACGACCAGCCTTGAGCCAAACTGGCTGCGGCTCGGCCGTTTTGTGGACATCCTGGGCCCTACTGGAGCAGCTGTGGGCCGTCTCGGGGGCATCCGGCTCTGTCCTGGAGGTTCTTCGGGCTCCCTGAAGCCCTGTCCACATGTTTTTGTTGCCGTCTCGGGGGGTCCCAAGATCCCCGCCACCGGCATGGGGGTCTGGTGTCTTGCCTTGAGGCCCCTGGCCTTGGACCCCAGGTAGATGTACATATCCTCTGATCCACCACTCGGGCCACAGGGTGGGTAGCTACACAAGCATGCCGCTGGCCCCTCTGTGGGCCTTCAGGGATGTGAGATATCCCCCCCTTCCCTCGCACTTCCCCCACAATACCCCAGTCCGGCATGTGGACAGGTCGACACCGTCTTAGGGTGCATGCATCCACTCACATAGACTCGCCTTTACAGAAACACCTGGTACCAAGTCCATGCCCAAACGGCAAGAACGGGCAGGGGGGTGATACAGAGACCATCCACCCAAAAGGGCACGGGACGCCCGCAACCACACAAGCAGTCGGATTTCCATTTTGCATGCGAGCGCCCCCGCACAATGCCACATCCTGTATGAAATCTCGCGGCGCGCAAACGCCCCAAAACCAAATTTAACGTAAGGATTTGGCGGATGTGGCGTGAGCCTGTAGATCCACGTCCTGAGGTGACGTGCTGAGCGGCAGCGTTTTCCGGCGAACGCCTTAATGCAACGTATCCAATGTATCCACAGATTGCATAATTGCAACATTTTGTATTGTGTTACATTATTATGTCTCCCCCCTAATAACCCCCCCCAGAGGCTACGCCACATCCGTCGACCCAAAGTGGCCACCCCCATTTGGGGTTCAAAAACGTACCAAAACCTATGTAAAATCGATGATTCGGGACTTTGGGCCTTCTGGGAGGCCCAGTAGGGCCTCAAGACGGCTCCATGTGGCTTCAAGACGGGCGAAGACGGCTCCAAAACGGTCCATGATGGCCCCAGAAGGGCCCAAGAAACTTCTAAGACGTCCCAAGAGGGCCCCAAAACGACCTCCAAGAGTGCCTCCTGAAGCCAGAATCACGAATTCCCATATAATTTTTGAATGATTTTAGCGTTCTCGCCTTTCTCGACTCTCAAAGCCCATGGCCGCCCAGGCAGCCACCAAAATTGCCTCAAAAAGGCCCAAGAAGCCTCCAAAAGGGCCCCCAAACGGCCCAGGATGGCCCCAAGACGGCCCAAAGAGGCCCCCAAGGCGGTCCAAAAAAACCATGAGACGGCCCAATAGGACCCCAAGAGAACCCCAAGGCGGCCGCGAGAGGCCTCCAAGACGGCCTCCGAAGGGGCGGAACGGCGCAAAAGCGCCCCAAGACGGCCCAAGACGCCCCCAACAGGCCACGAGAGGCCCCCAAGAGGCCCCCAAGGGGCTCCAAAAAAAAACCCAAGAGGCCTCCAAGAAGTCCCCAAGAAGCCTCCAAGAGGCCTCAAAGAAGCCCCCGCAAGGCCACACATAATGTTATTTTTCTGCCCCTGGGCGAACTGCGGCGCAGTGGAAATTGGTCACGGCGGCGCCCATGATTAGAGCCGGCGCCGGAAGGGAAGATGGGGAGGGAGTACGAAAAGGAGGGGGGGAGAGGTCCCAAAGAAGTCCCCAAGAGGCCCAAAGAAGCTCCCAAGAGGCCTCCAGGAGGCCTCCAGGATGCTCCCAAGAGGCCCCGCGACGACGTGACTGTACGTGCTCCGGACGTGCACCCCGCGAGAGGAATCATCAATTACCCAATTGGCCTGTGAATGATTTTTTCAAATTCTCGCTGCTTCGGGCTTCCGTCAGCTAACGGCGGCCCGAGAAGCCTCCACGATGGCCCAACGACGGCTCAAGAGGCCACCACGAGAAGTCTAACGATATTCTAAGAGGCAACTAAGGCGGTCCAACTCGTCTGATAGCCAACGAAGGCCCAAATGCCAGCGCTCGCATGCGCCCACCGCGCCCATTTTGGCACACCCCTCACACGCTTCGTGGCCCCATAAGGTGCTCCACCGAAGGCCCAAATGCCACCGATCGCATGCGCCCACCGCGCCCATGCTGGCACACCCCTGGCACGCTTCGTGGCCCCATAAGGGGGGCTCCACCGAAGCTCCAAATGCCAGCGCTCGCATGCGCCAGCCGCACCCATTATACCACACCCCTCACACGTTTCGTGGCCCCAAAGGAGCTCCACCGAAGGCCCAAATGCCAGCGCTTGCATGCGTCCAACGTGCCAATTTTGGAACACTCCTCAGACGTTTCGTAATCGCTTCGTGGCCCCAGAAAGGAGCTGCACCGAAAGCCAACGTGTCAACGCTCGCATTCGCCCACCGCACCCATTTGGGCACGACCCTCACACGTTGCCTGGCCCCACAGGTTGCTCTACCGAAAGCCCAAATGCCTGCGTTCGCATGCGCCCACCGCGCCCATGCCGACACACCCCTCACACGCTTCGTGGTCACATAGGGAGCTCCAGCGAAAGCCAACATGCCAGCGCTCGCGTGCGCCCACCGCGACCAATTTGGCACACCTCTCTCACGTTTCGTGGTCCCATAGGGACCTTCACCGAAGGACAAAATGCCAGCGCTCGCATGCGCCCTCCGCGCACAATTGGCCACACCTGTGGCTTGTTTCTTGGCTCCGTAGGAAACCTCACCGAAGGCCCAAATGCCAGCGCTCGCATGCGCCCACCGCACCCATTTTGGCACACACCTCACACGCTTCGTGGCCCCAGAAGGAGCTCCACCGGAAAGCCCAAATGCCAACGATCGCATGCGCCTGCCGCGGCCATTTCGGCACAGCCCTCACACGCTTTGTGATCCCATAGGGAGCTACACCGAAGGCCAAGATACCAACGCTCACATGCGCCCACCGCACCCATTTTGGCACACCTCTCACATGTGCCGTGGCCCCATAGGTTGCTCTCCGAAGGCCCAAATGCCAGCGCACGCACGCGCCCACCGCACCCATTTTCGGCACAGCCCTTACACTCTTCGTGACCCCATAGGAAGCTCCACCGATCGCGGTGCATACAACGACGGTGCCCACAACTGTATATGGTTGGGTCCCTCGCCAGGCTAATTTGTCCATTCGCGGAGGGTCGCTGGAGATCAACATGTCTTGAGCCAAGGTACGGTGCTTTGCCGCATCCCCGTGCTCTCCGTGGCCATGAGGATGCTACTGCATGACCAGTGCTGGACGTCAGAGGATCTGCGAAACGAAGAGGCCGTCGGATACCAACCACACTCCGCGCGTCGCTCGGCCACTGTGCGCCTTGGACCCGGAGGCGGCTGGACACCATCTTCTGGTCTCCCAGACGCGGTCTGCTACAACTACGACTACTACGACTGAGACTACAACAACAACAATTACTACGACGACGACTACTACTACTACTACTACTACTACTACGACTACTACTACTACTACTACTACTACTACGACTAGTACTACAACGACTACTACACTACTACCACCACTACTACTACTACTACTACTACTACTACTACTACTACTACTACTACACTAGTCCTATTACTCCAACTCCTACTCCAACCCCTACTCCCACTACTACTACTAAGACTACTGCTGAGTACTACTACCACTACGACTACTGATACTACTACTACTACTACTACTACTACTACTACTACTACTACTACTACTACCACTACTACTACTACTAATACTACTAATACGACTGCGACTACTACTACTACTACTACGACTACTACTACTACTACTGCTACTACTACTACTAGTACTACTACTACTACTACTACCACTACTACTACTACTACTACTACTACTACTACTACTACTACTACTACTACTACTACTACTACTATTACTACGACTACTACTACGACGACTACTACTACTACTACTACTGCTCCTACTTCCGCTACTGCTGCTGGTACTGCAAATTCTACGACTGTTACCAATACTGCTACTACTAATATGATTACAGCAACAACGCCTTCCACTACTACTAGTACTACTACTACTACTACGACGACGGCTACTCCTACTACTCCTACTAGTGCTACTACTACTACGACGACTGACGCTACTCTAACTCCTACTCCCACAACCACCACCACTACTACTACTACTACTGCTACTAATACAACTGCTACCTACTACTACTACTACTACTACTACTACTACTACGACTACTACTACTACTACTATGAATACTTCTGCTACTACTATCACTACTACTACTACTACTACTAATCCTGCTGCTACTACTACTACTACTACGACTACTACTACTACTACTACTGCTGCTACTTCTACAACTACTGCCTAACACTACACTACGATGATTACGAGTACTACGTCTACGGCGACTACTACTTCCACTTCTACTCCTCCTACTACTACTATTACTACTCCTCCACTACTACTACTACTACTACTACTACTACTACTACTTCAACTGCAACAACTATTACCACTACATCTACTTCTTCTGATACTACTACTACTCCTACTACTACTACTACTACGACTACGACTGCTACCACTACTACTACGACG